ATATATATATATATATATATATATATATATATATATATATATATATATATATATATATATATATATAAGTTTGGGACTGAAGAATCGGTCTAAGTGTGGAAGGTTGATTCGCCGTGTACGATGATCGATAAAATTTCGATACATGCGTTTGACATGCTGGACGTATCAAAATTTTATCGATCATCGTACGTGGCAAATCAACCTTCCACATTTAGACCGATCCTTGAGTCCCAAACTTATATATATATATATATATATTTATATTCCCAAAACCTCTATTAAACCGATGACTCAAATAGATTTATTTTATATGTTGCGAAAAAACTGCCTTCGTCAGGACTCGAACCTTGAACCTCCCTACTTTCCGGGTGGGACGCTTATCATTCGGCCACCGAAATTTCGACAGTCCTCTCGCAACACAATGTTTATAAATTCTCTAAGAAGTCGAGAAAGAAAGAAAGAAAGAAAGAAAGAGATCTTATGATCTCGTAAGAGATGTTATTATACAAGACAGATAGCATATTCTACCGCCAATGTTTTAAGATAAACCGAAATTATAGAAAGCTCCTTTTGTATAACTTTTTTGGGAATATAAATATATATATATATATATATATATATATATATATATATATAAGTTTGGGACTGAAGAATCGATCTAAGTGTGGAAGGTTGATTCGCCGCGTACGATGATCGATAAAATTTTGATACGTCCAACATGTCAAACGCATGTATCGAAATTTCATCATTTTATGTTGATTTGAAATGAAATTTAGCTCTTTTATTTGATTCCGCACTATTTTCATCTAAAAATTTACTCGGTACTGGTTGGGCGCGAACTCAAGAAACTCCAGGTTCCTAAGTCCATCACCTTGGCTACTGCGCTATTTCCTTAACTGATATAAAGTGTTTTTATTATATACAGCTGTAGCAATAATTATAATTTTCTTATAATATAATTTAATACAACTACAAAAATAAACTCTTTAGTTCAAATATTTCATAGAATAAAAGAGAAGTCAGAGATATATAGATGTTATAAGTATTAAAATTTAGTATCTATAACACAGGCTGGGCAATTATTACCAAATCGTCGTAATCTTTTTTTTCAGTGTAATGACACCGTGCACAAATTCTGCATATTTTCTGCTTTATCAAATAGCAAATAGCACAGTACTAATATAGTACTTGCATGATGTGCTGAGCATAGCATGTACTAACGTGTTGTATAGATATATAACATGATCGCATTTTTTGTTTGATAATCGGTATCGCGATACTTGATAAAGCGAGTTCCTTCGTAACGCAGAGAACACTTTACCATTAGATTTACTACGGAACTGATGTATGGTGTATCGTTAAAAATACTTCTGTACGGACAGCAGCTACTAATTCGGCTTGTCAAGGCGACGTAAAGTATATACATAATCTTTTTCATACTTTATTCACTTTCATTTATATATTTCTTTTGCCTAGTCGTTATTAAATTTTTGTCCTTCATACATTATTTGTTTTTGGAATTAATAAAGCCGAAAAATCCGCCCGCTTCTCTTTTCCATTCCAGTATACATGTTGGCTTTTATATTTATTTTTTTATTATTGGCGTTAAAAAATGTAATATCTCTTTCTTTTGTTTAATTCTTCTTTCTCTACACTACTTTCTTATCTCTTTGTTCTCATTTCCCTTCGTTTTTCTCGTCATATTCACATTATCGCGTGCGTGTCAGTGAAAATTTAATTTTTTTAAGGAAATACAGTACTATATTAAGTGGTCCTAGAAATTCTATTGTTTAAATCTAGATTCTATTGTTTAAATCTAAATTTTTTTAGGAATGTTGAAAAATATTGCTTACAACAATGTACCAACTACATAGAAAAACATAAGAGAACGCATTTTGGATGCATATGTGATTATAAATTTAGAAATGATAAAAAGCAAGAGTATCGTTTATATATCGTATTTAAAAATGTATTGAAGTTGGAGAGCATTATTTAAAATACCTCCTTAAATAAATTTTTGCGCTGAAGAACATAAATGTTTGACTTTTCTTTTTTCTTTAAATATACATTAACATTAAACATACATTAAACATACATTAAATATACATATACATTAAACATACATTATTTTCCATGTTCAATATTATTCAAAGACTATGTTGTCATAAGCCAAACTCTTCTTGATATTGACTACAAAAACGGGCAAACATAGAGATTATATAGTTCTATTAAAAAAAATTATTGTGACCTATAAATCTCTAAAAAAATTACCATGAAAAAAGTTTTTTTTCTGTCATTATAACTGCTCCTTCGAACGGTGCAACTTTTTCTTTAGATATTTGTATTAGATTTTTTCGTATCATCAAAAACAAGTGTGAAATTTAAGATGCTCAATTAAGAGGACCACCCTGTATATTTCCTTAAAATATATTGATGCGTTAGCAGAGGCATGTCGGTCGCCAAGTGTTGCATCTACAATGTTAAAATAAGCGCGTATAAAACTACTGGATATTTTATTTTGTAGATGTTTTTATTTTAGTATCTCCTAATATTGGAGGTGAGCACTTTTATCAAAAAGATTAGTGTTGAAATATAAATACATGTAAAGTATTTCAACCTTACAATTTTATGCAGTTCTTGCATCGCTTCATCACTTGTTCTCTGGTACTCACTCAGTGCAGTACAGTCAGATTCTTCTTTCTATTCGATTTATAATGTATTTTACGTAATTTAAGAATATTTGTCACATTGTTTTCACAACTATTACTAAAATGAGATATCTCGTTTTCATTTATTTATGGCGTGTAACATTGAGGAGAAATATTTAAAAATTGATTTGTGAAATATAAAGTTTATTTCTGCGAACAGACTTTGTCACAATGTGCTAGCACTTGCACTGAGAAAAATACTTAAAAATTTATTTGTAGGATAAAAGTTTATTTCACAGAAATGAATCTTATATCTCGCAGATAAATTTTCCAGTATTTCTTTTTCCGTGCGAGCACGCCACTTCGTTAAAGTAAGAGAGCCCGATATTTCCAGTTAAGTCTTGTATTTAAGATGCAATTTTAGTAAAAAAAATTTATGTATTTCTGAAGTATGTTAAAAGAGAGTAGCGATTCCGTAGTATCCTAACATCGTGTACTAAGAAAAAAATACTTGAAAATTTATCTGCGAGATATAAAGTTTATTTCTGTGAATTAACTATATATTCCACATATAAATTTTCAAGTTTTTTCTCAGAGAGTAGTATTCAAGTTTTTCGATTTCATTTCTGAATTGAAGTTGGCGAGTGATTGAATAGATCACATTTCATTGTAAAGTAGATTCCGAATTATTTGTTCTTTTAGTTATCAATTATTAGAATTACTTGTTCTATTCGATTAGTTATTGATACGTATCTTTATCAGAATACTTTTATATCACGAAAGGAAACGTTCTCTCGTAAAAACTGACAAAGTCAGCACAATTAATTGTTTACGGTGCTATTTACGCAGGTGCTATTTACGCAGGTGCTATTTACGCAGGTTTTTCTAATATTTTTATTAGCAAACGAAAATGATCATCGGAAATGAAAATATAAACAGAAGACAGAATTGATGTCTTACATAGAGTAACTATTATCTGACTTATTATTGACTTCATTATCTGAACGTTGATGACACTTACATGTTTTGCTTTATACGTGTCTTTCGGATAGTGTCACAATCTTTCCGGCAACATTTTAGCGAGGAAAAGAAAAAGAAACGAAAACCACAACCGTTCTTAATAATAACGCGGCGCACCGGTGGTTACCATGAATACCAAGCGGCCATTTGAGAACGTGCCTGATATAGGCGACAAAAATAACTATCAATCCGTTTATTTTCGCAACTAATATTTACTCGCGATCTTCAAATTTAATAAAATCAAATAACATGTGCGGCGGCATAAAAAACAGTGATGATGTATCGTTTCATCAAAATTTTCGAAAAATAACTGTGCTATATATATAATAAATATTTGCAATTTTTTTTCAGTAAGCGTGTGTTCGTTCGCACGCTGGTTTCTCTTTTTTCCTTTTTTAAGGATTTCGTTGAATTGCACTCGAGCGGCTCGACATGGCGCAGTTCAACTTCCACGAGATAAAAGTCATTGACGACTCGATGAATGATATGGAAGTAATACGAAACATAATAAACACGAAGAACCAAGATCAGGCCTTCTACATCGCGAATATTGGTAGCGTGATTAAGAGACATGATGAATGGATCGCCAAGATGCCTCGAGTCACCCCGCACTTTGGTATCTACTTTAAGTTTCATGCTTTTCCATTTTTACAAATGCGCATCAATGGTAATGGAAAAAGTTGCAAAGTAGAGATATCACTAATCGTTTTCCTTTCTTCAATCCTAGCGCTTAAATGCAACTCGGATCCGATGGTGATTAAAGTTTTGGCGGCTTTGGGCGCTTGTTTCGACTGCGCGTCTGAGGTAAAAATATCTGCTTTTTCCTCTTTGCGATTGTCAAACTGTATTGGACATTAGTTGATGGAACATTTTATTTGACTAAAACAATCGGTTAATCAATAATCAAAGTTAATCAATCGTAAGACAAGCGTAAGCCAAACGCGCGAATATTGGTGCGAATAGTTTTAAATTATGATAATAAACATTTAAAAATAAATCAACAAATTCATTATGCAAACAATTATGATAAGAAAGTGAGAAGTTAATTGACGATTTATTAAATCTATTGATTAATTGTATTGATTGATTTACCTATTTCTATTGATTGTTTAGTCGACTTTTTCAGCCAAATTCTGTTCAATGCGTAACACTGCTAAGTAAGTTCTATTAATCCTCTGTGCACAATATTGGATCTGCCAGATTCGAATGAACATTTGATCGTTCACTAACTTTCGTAAAGGCTCGGGAAAATATTTCAAAATAGCTCAAATCTATAGATTATCATTTTATTGCGTTACTATCTTATAATTGAGACTTCTTTGTACGCGTAAAAAAAAATTCAAGATTATATTGTCATGTGACCTTGGTGACGCCACCCAGGGTCAAACTAATAATAAGATTGAAGCGTTCGCTTAATCTACTCCAAGCTGGAGTGAAACATTCACTCTTGCGATATCGCTGTCGTCTCGAGTGAAAATGTTGCAACTTCTCACTCGTTCTGAGTTGCAACATTTTCACTCCGAGAAATTACAAGTGTAGCTCGATCATGCAAATCATATTTGTAAGCAGCAAGAGATCAAGCTAGTGATGCAGCACGGAGTGCACGGCGATCGAATCATCTTCGCACACCCGACCAAGTATTCCTCGCACATAGCTTACGCAAAGAAAGTGGGGGTCAAGCAAATGACGGTGGACAGTGAAGCCGAGCTGTTCAAGATCAAGGATATCTTTCCCGACGCCAAGTGAGTGAGAGACAGATTATAACGAACGTTCCTCTCTTATTATTCCCATTCTTGTTTCGCGTATCACTGAGCGAACGATCGGCTTTTGCACGGCAGAATCGTCATACGTATACGCTGCGACGCCAAAGTCACGCAGGTGGTGTTGGGCTTGAAATTTGGCTGCGAGCCGAACGACGAAGCCGTGCACCTGATACGACTCACCAAGGATCTCGGCCTGAACCTGTACGGCTTCAGCTTCCACGTCGGCAGCCCGTGCGGCGAGCTGGAGGCTTACAGCCGTGGTATCGCGATATGCAAACAGTTAATTGCTATCTCCCAAAGTATCGGCTGCAACAATGTGCAGCTGATCGACATCGGCGGCGGATTCCCGAGCGAGACTGGAACGAACGTCGACGAGGTGTACAAAATGTTTCAAATGTAGTCTGTAATCGGCGTCTCGATTCGAAAACGTTAAGTCGTTTAGTTTTGAGCGTGGTGACGCGTGGTGATCGAGCGGATGTTAGAGAATTAAACGGAACGACACCTCGATCTTTATGATTGAGAAAGATCGATTGCGAATTCATTCGCGGCATTTGCAATCAGGAGGAAACGCTTCGCTTTTCAAGTATCGTTATTCACGTACCTTTTCCGCTCGGCGTTTATTTAGAAGTAAAAACGAAGGAATGTTGAGAAACTAAGCACTCGAAACGTTTTCTTGAATTTTATAATCGAAAGAAATCGATTGCGAATTCATTCGCGGCACTTGGAACCAGGAGGGAGCCCTTCGATTTTTCAAATATCGTTTTATTCGCGCACTTTTTCCATTTAGCATCTATCTCGAAGTGAAAACGGACGAATGTTTGAGAATTAAGCGAAACGGTTTCTCGGAATTTATAATCGGAAGATTGATTGCAAATTTGTTCGCGGCATTTGTAATTAGGAAGAAACGTTTAATTTTACAGATATTATTATTATCATACATTTCTTGTTTAACGTTTATCTAAAAATGAAAACGGGCGAGTGTTTAAAAATTGAATAAAAAACATTCACGATTTTTATAATCGAAGATCAATTTATTCGTGGCATTTGTAATCAGGAGGAAACACTTGGTTTATTTACATATCATTATTCACGTCCTGTCCAGCATTTACTTAAAAATGGAAACAAATATATATATATATATATATATATATATATATATATATATATATATATAGAGAGAGAGAGAGAGAGAGAGAGAGGGGGGGGGGAGAAAGAAAGGGAGAGTTATTTATGCACATAATTAATTTCTTGTTTGTTTACACGCGCGTTACATATTTCTCCGTGACTTTTTCAGTTCGCGACTATCATCAATGAGGCGATACGGGACCTCGATCCTGCCATAAGAGTTATCAGCGAGCCGGGAAGTTACTATGTATCTTCCAGCTTCACTTTGGCATCGTATGTGCACTCAGAGCGTGTCATTTCACAACACGATAAAACGATGAGAATGTACTACATGAACAGCGGGGTGTACCATTCCTTCGTGGAGGAGCTATTGGGTTTAAAGGCGCGTATCCCACAATTACTGTCCGAGGTAACTCTATTAATTCCAGTTTTCTCCATCAAGAGCCGCTCTATTATGACGTAAAGGACTGTTAATTCATCGCAGCCAACGAGCAACGAGAAGTTCTGGTCAACTTTATGGGGCCCGACCGCGAGCTCATACGATTTAATAGTGAAGGACGTGTTGTTGCCCGAACTTCATGTCGGCGACTGGTTGATCTGGAGGGACATAGGCGCCTATTCCACAGCTCTTGCCACTACGTTCAACGGATATCCGGCTCCAATTGTGATCCCGATCATCAGAAGGAGTGACTGGTCAGTTGACTCGTGTAAAGAGACGAAGTATACACACAGAGAAATACATACTGCATTTTAGTGACTTCAAATGTTACTTAATCCACATATTTCATGAACTTATGTACATCTGCAAATCTAAACTCAGGAAAACATATTTGCAAATTTATTTGTGGAGCATAAAGCTTATCTGCAAAAATGAATTTTATTTCACATAAATAAACTTTATATCTCTCATATAAATATTCATGTATTTCTTTCTCAATGTATCACAAGTTCGTCATAAGCATCTTTATTCAAAATACATTTTGCGTTTTAATTAGTTTAGTACTTAAATAAAGGATATTAACTTAAAACAAAAATTCGGTTTGCTCACTCTAGTGTCGAGCCAATTTTTTGTCGATAAAGTTCTACAATAATCTTGTAAAGATTTTCTCGAGTACACGGTACAATGAGGAAAAAATACTTGAAAATTTTTTTGCAAAAAATAAAGTTTTCATAGTAACGAACTTTATTTCACAAAAATAAATTTTATATCCCACAAATTTTCGAGTATTCTTTCTCATTGTCAACGTAATGAACTTTTTACTAATTTGTTGTGAGTACATTTGAAGATTATTATAAAGGAAATATTCTTTATCGAAGATAATTGTTACTTAAAAATAAAAAGTAAAGTGAGAAATCGCTTTTCTTAGCAATAGAATGCAATATTTTTCTGTGTGTACACTTTATAATAAACTTGATATAGCTATAGTTTCGCAAACGATCTATAATTTCGAATTTAATCGCTGTATGATTTAATTAATCTTTGTGTAGGGAGGATTTCGAAAGGCGAATTACTTTGGCATGAGGACCTCCTTTATTCCGTGGAAATCTGTCAAGCTGTACGAATCAATAGGAAAGCGGGAGGAGAATGTTCAATGTAATTGGCGAGAAAAAAACAAAGTATATAGAACGTATTGTGAATTCGCGTAGATGAGTCTTCGGGTCGTTCATATGTGTGCGCGAATATTGTCCAAGCCTGTATATGTCTACTCGATATATATAAACTTAAATGCGTGTTTAGGTATAGGAATTGTAGTACACGGGGAGAGTATTGTAGAAAAAATTACAATGCAATTTTAGTAGTTCGAAAATAGACTGGCACTATTCCGGAAATTATAATAAAACATAGTAAAAATAACTGTAAATATAGTAAGAGATATCGTGTTTATGGTCATTTTTACTATGTTTTATTATAATTTTCGTAATAGTGCTAGTCTGTTCCCGACTTACTAAAATTGTAATTTTAACTACAATATTCTCTCCACATATATATTACGTTAATACACGAAAGTTACAGTCTCATTACAGCGCCTAATTTTTATTATTATTTCTTAACAAAACACCGAGAGCGATCGCTTAATCCTTTTGTTATCTCAGAAATTGTGCCTGCCAACGGCGTTTAATTCTAAAAAAAGAATATCTTAATAGGGTTAATTAACTTACTTTCGGTCGTAAATAATTATATTGCAAGATAACCAACTACGAGATACTGCAGAAGTACAAGAAAGCTAAATATAAAATATTTGCTAAGAGACATGTGTTATTCTGCTGTTTAATCAACTGCGACTGTCAGCTGCACCACTGGATTGTTTCCTGTGAGCATTGCTTGGCCGATATACATGTTCGGCGACGAAGTAACATCGTAGTTTGTTTTACGTGGATCTGACGCGTAAAATATCGCGGCACATCGAAGATTCGCAGATTCAAGGAAAAGAGAAAAACGAGAGAACGAGGGAGGGACGGAGGAACGACCGCGCAGAACGATGCAGCTGAGTGTCAGTCGCGTGGAGAGTGTTGATTGTTAAACGGTGTATACATACACTCACGATATCGCATAACTCATACGGCCTCATACGTGTACACTATGCACTATATGGTCTATTAAATTTTCTCACATCTGTCGCTTTTCATCACGTGCTTGTTAATTCTGCCTTGTGTCATGTGATCTTTCTCCAAAATGATTTTGCATAGATACGCGCGCACACATATGCATATGTATATATATATGTCGAGGCGTTTCAGCCCTGATTTAGTTGTGTCCATGAAGAGATACGGATCGAATCGTTTGATATATGTCTACAGGCATTGAATATCTCGATTTCGTAGTCAATGCTTTGACGCTTCGGACTTCTGCTTACTACTTTTGCATTCGATTGCTTGCGCGCGTAAAAGCGTCCTCCACCTACTATTCGGAGTTACTGCAGTATCTTTTTTACGAGCAGTATCTTTAATACTAGATCTATAAGTCTGTTTGTACGTTTAATAAAATACACGCGAGTTCTTTGTGAAACAGCGAATGGAATTTGAAACAAAAATACGATTATACAGTTTGCCAAATGCAAGAGGATGTGTCCTAAAATTTTACATTTATTCTATATATTTTTTATATTTAATGTCTTTATAGACATATAATTATTACACATATTACACAACATATATTTATTACACATATTTATATACACGCATATATACCTATGACGCATAATGTTCAATTCAAAGTGTGTATATGTGCGAAAGCTCGAGATAATTCTTACGTGTTACATTTGCTGATGCAACGTGAAAGCGATTGATGGCGGCTGATGAGATGTCAAAAATATAATTTTAAATTAATCGTTTAAATTTTTCAACCTCAAAAGAGCCGCGATAAGTAATGACTGCCGAACCGTCTATTCGCTCGACAGAAGCGTTCACGATGTTCGATTTCGACGAGATAAACATCTTTGACGATAGCATAGATGAGATGGATATTATTAGGAATACGATTAATATCAAAAAGCCGGAGGACGCTTTCTACATCGCCGATATGGGTGGCGTTATTCAGAGACATTTGGAGTGGATCAGCAAAATGCCGAAAGTCACTCCGCATTACGGTACGACATTTACTGCTACATTAGTAGAAATATATCCATTTCTAACCCACCACTAAATAATATTATTAATTATTCTTAATAAGTAATGGTTAATTATTTATTTTTTTAGAAATATTTATTAATTACACTGTCTCAAATTTTGATTCTTTTTTACTATACAAATGTGAGTCGTTATTTCCGACGTATTTTTAGCAACTAAACTAAAAAATAAATTGTGCAAATTTTGTTATCATATGGCAATTTTGAGGAAAATGAGATAAAAGAGCCAGAAATAACTATCTTAAGAGATTTTATGACGTAGGAGAGCGACAAATGTTTTTTTTCTAAATTTTATGAATGTACGTGAAAGTACGAATGTTTAGTTTTAAAATACATCTCGTTTCATTTTCCTACGATTTATCGTTTGAGAGACCTAGCTATTTCAAAATAGATCTTCTTTCCGTGTAATACATGAAACAGAAATTTAATTCTTAACATAACATTATGTATAAAGCACAGGTGTTTTCTGCACTTATATAATACAGTTGGAAAATAAAGAAAAGAGCAAATAACTTGAGCATTTTCACACATAGATTTATCTACAATGTATACTGCATTATTGTCCATAATTTCAATAAGTAGACAGTGGCTATTTGCATTCTCGTTGCGAAATGATGTCAGCCAATGTTACCATCAAATATAAAATATATTAATGACTTGAAAAATTAATCTCGTTAAACTTTTCCGCATCTCAGCGATCAAATGCAACTCGGATCCGACGGTGATCAAAGTTCTGGCGGCCATGAATGTTTGTTTCGATTGTGCGTCTATGGTAAGCTTCCGTTTTCGGAAGCGAAAACCGTTTCCGTTTGCGCAGTAAGCTTAAATTGCCATTATTGGCATACGTAGAGACCGGCACTTCGTTGTGTACACTTGGTGTACATCAACAAAGTGTCCGATAACACAAACTAATTCAGCATATGCCCAACAGCAAGAGATAAGACAAGTAATGCAGTACGGAGTGAAAGGCTCGCGGATTATCTTCGCACACCCGACCAAATTACCGTCTCACATCAAGTACTCGAACAAAGTGGGTGTCGAAAAGATGACGGTCGACAGTGAGACGGAGCTGTTGAAGATCCAAGAGATCTTTCCCGAAGCCAAGTGAGTAATATTCGAGTGGTAAAAATATTCATTGAATTTATCTCAATTAAATTCGTTGATTTTATCAAACATGTTTCAATTCAACTAATTGACGATCGACTGACAAGCAAAATCAATCAAAGAATATTTCATTGACGATTGACTTCAACGAATCCAATTAGAGGATGCTGAAGCCGAAATTTCTATCGACAGAATACTGACTTTTCTCTGCACAGTTTATATTGTATTGGCCGCATAGAATTATACAAATGCTCTTATGCAATCAAAATATATGCGAGGATGAATTGGAGCATTGCTCAGTGTATGACAGAAACGATGAAAATTTTCAAAGTTGACATTTCAAATGTAAATTAGCCTGTCAGACAATATCAGTTAAAGTAAATATTTGTCTGATACAAAAGATCTGTATATACTGAGTTTGTTCCGCTCGGGAAAATTTCAAAGAACATTGTTCTACCTTTATATCTGAATTTAGAAGCTTAAAAAATCAGAAAAGTTGGCAAACAGTTTTCTATATATATGCGTAGTTAGATTTTCCGCTAAATATGATGAAACAAAGCAACACGCATTTATGTAAGATCTATATGTACAAGAAACACGAAAAGGATAGCGTGGGTTGTGTTGGTGACGATAGCCTCTGCGTTATCGACATTTTTCGAGTTTTCCATCGATTCCAGCATCTTCTTAAAAAGACTGATGATTAATATAAGCCCATTCAATTAAAGAGATCGTTTAATTGACAATTGACTTCAACAAATTCAACTAAAAATCGTTTAATTGATGATTGATTTCAACGAATTCAATTAAAAACAACTCAATTGACGATTGATATGAGCAAAGAAAATCAGAGATTATTCAATTAATTGGACTTAATGAATTTAATTAAAGATCCTTTAATTAATGGTTGAATTTAGGGTAAATTTAATTAAAAGTCATTTTGTTGACAATTGATATGAGCAAATTCAACTGAAGAGCGTTTGGTTACTCAAGGTTACAACTTGTTTATATCAATCGTCAATTAAACAGTTTGTAATTAAATTTACCGAATTCACTCGTCAATAAAACGATTTTTACTTAAATTTGTCAAGTTTAATTGTTAATCAAACGCGATCTTGAATTCCTGAATTCGCTCATAACAATCGTCATGTTGAACGATGTTCGATCGAATTGGGTCATATTAATCGTCAATTAAATACGATATACATAATTAGTCAAAAAAATAACTTATTATTCGCGACTCTGTGTAGAACAGGTAGTCATAAAATACAAATGCGATGTAAAAAGAGGCGGGCTGTCAAAATTCAAAACTGCAGCCGTGGAAAGAACCACAGCGACCGCGGACCAAAGATCAATCGTTTCCTGACGACTGAGATAACAAGCTCCCATCCCAGGGAAATTGAATTTTAACTTGAAATCTGATTTATGTCCCGCGATTTCAATCCCGTTATATCATCGCGAACGCTTCGACGCAATCGGATCGCGTTGGAAGTCCGTCTTTTCTGTTCCGCCCTTCGTCTTACGACTTACGATCCATCGAGCCACGACAATTCCGCAGGGTCGTGATACGCATACGCTGCGACGCCAAGAACTCGCCGGTGTCGTTAGGCACAAAGTTCGGTTGCGAGCCGCACGAGGAGGCAGTGCGCTTAATACAGCGCACCAGGAGCCTCGGCCTGAACCTGCACGGCTTCAGCTTCCACGTCGGCACGCCGTGCAGGGAGCTGGACGCCTACCGTCGCGGAATCAAGATGTGCGCGCGTCTGATCGACGTCGCGAGGGCGACCGGCTGCCGCGACGTGCGACTAATCGACATCGGCGGCGGATTTTCGGGCAAGTGTGGCGCCGAGATCGACAGGGTACGTGTCTTGTCGTCCCCTCTTGTTGATAATCTTCTCGCTATTGCGAGCAACTGCAGCGACTTCTGGCCTAATAATTCCCTTTCGGAGAGAAATGCCACCATAGTGCTTCGGTAACTGTGGGTTACAAAACGGTCTAAACGCGATGAAGTTGGGAACTCGGCCAACTGTCAAAATTGAGAGTCATTACCGACGGTAATTTGCCTCCACAGTCATTATACAGGGTGCGGCAAAAGTATCGGACCGGTAAAATATCTCGAAAAATATAAGTTTTACAGAAAATTGCTTTAGATAAAAGCTATAAGTCTTAGGAAAATCTATTTACTGATTTTAACAGTTTGACCTTGGGTGACATTTCGAAGTCAGGTCGAGGTCAACATTGTTTTTTTAAATAGAAACATATTTTTTATTACGGAATTTTATTCTACGTGAAGAAACACATAATTTTTGTTTGAAAATATTTTTTATACGACCTCTATTTTCGAAGATATTTACGGAAATATTTACAAAATTATTGGTTTCAATAATTTTTTATTCGAATTTTATCAATTTTACCGAAAAATAGCAAAACATAAAAATTGTTTATTTTTTCTCATAGAGCTCTGAGAATTTTTTCAGAATTTTTTAATTAACTTTTTAGTACTTCAAGAAAATGCAAGAAAATGCAGTACTAAAAAGTTAATTAAAAAATTCTGAAAAAATTTTCGGAGCTCTATGAAATGAAAATAGAAAATTTTTATCTCTTACTATTTTTTGGTAAAGTTGATAGAATTTGAATAAAAAATTATTGAAACCATTAGTTTTGTAGAATAAAATTCTGTAATAAAAAATATATGTTTCTATTTAAAAAAGCAATGTTGACCTCGACCTGACCTCGAAATGTCACCCAAGGTCAAACTGTTAAAATCAGTAAATAGATTTTCCTAAGACTTGTAGCTTTTATCTAAAGCAATTTTCTGTAAAACTTATATTTTTCGAGATATTTTATTATTAGCCCGTCATCAGAAAGGTGGGGTCTGAGAAACTCCACCATTCCGTTCTCTTTAAATCTTTGTAATATCTTCAGGATTTCTTTCTCTGCCGGCTGTTAAATCTCAATATTTCACAGAATTATGAGAGATATATTATGAATATGATAATTATGAAAGATATAAGAATTATGAGAGAAATATTATGAATATGATTATGAAAGATATAAGATCTGAGAAATTATACAAATGTAACAAAAAAGGAAAAACAAAATTCATTAAATTCTACCTTTTCAATGACGGGTTAATTATTATTAATCATTATTAGTATTATTATTATTTATTATTATATAGTGTTTTGAAGCATATTTAAGCATTGCATAAATCTATTGGTAATAATCCTCAGTTTTGACAGTCTGGTGAGCTTGCAACTTTATTATGTCTGAACCGTTTTACTGGACACAGAAAAGGAATTTCATAGTGAAAATTGCTATAGCATTTTGAAATCAGAGAATAGATCGACAGTCTGCATAATTGTGAAACAATATAAAATATAATATTTTGTTCATAAGTGTAGGAGACCGAGGCTAGTTGGTTACAGAAGTAAGTTGGCGAAAGTGCAGCTCATTTCATGCAGTAAGAGATAAAAACGGGAAAACTTGTGGCTAGTCTTCCGCTTTTAAGCTTCGAAAAATAAAAAATCTCATGATTTTTCGCATTTGCGTTTTGAGTAAGAACGGAAAATCTTGTCTTTTTTGTGTGTTAAGTAGACTTACTATAGTGATCATAATGTGAGACATTCGATGATAAATACTACAATTTTTTAAATTACATTTATGAGGCAAATACATCATTAATCATTCAATTTACATCATACAATAATATAATTTTTTTTGTTATATTGCAACAACAAATTTGCTAAAAATTACATTCAGATTTCCATATTACATTTTATAACGTTGTTTTGAATAAATTATGATCATTCTTTTCGCATTTCTATTTCATCACTCTAATGTGCGTTTCTACTAACTTTGATAACTTAGCCGGCTGGTTATTCCAACGGAATTGACCAATCGCATTTCTCGTTAGAATTGACAGATTGGTCAATTCTGTTGGGATAACCAGCAGGTCAAGTTGACCAAAAATATAAACGGTTATAAGTGATGAAAATGAGTGGCTTGTGAATCGGTCATAAGGGACGCAATCTTTACAAATTGATCTAATTGCTGTCAAATATATGTATACCTGTCCCTATCTGGGTTACTGCCAAATTGATATACACCTGTCAATCTGGGTTCAGCTCGCGGAGATCATTAACGACGCGATTCAAGACCTTGATCCCTCCATAAGGGTCATTAGCGAGCCCGGACGGTATTATGTGGGTGCGAACTTCACGCTGGCTTCGTATCTGCACTCGAAACGGATCACTCGCGAAAACGGCGAGCTGAAGAGGATGTATTACATGAACTGTGGCGTGTACAATTCATTTCTGGATGAACTGTTGGGTCTGCAGTGCCGAACGCCGCGGTTGCTCTTCGAGGTAATTATAATTATATCGGTGTCGATGTTCGATCAGTGATTCAGTCGCGTTTCCGAGACGCTTGCGTGCATTACCGAAGGTTGTCGCGTCGTTAACTGGCGTGTAATCGATGCCTTACCGTTGCAGCCGACGAACAATGAGAAATTCTCCTCGATCTTATGGGGACCGACCGCGGACTCGTACGATTTGATTGTCAAGGACGTGTCGTTGCCCGAACTTTACGTGGGTGACTGGTTAGTTTGGAAAGATATGGGTGCTTACACGTTATCTCTTTCCAATAAGTTCAATGGCTTCCCGATTCCAGCCGTAATACCGTTCGCCAGAAGAAGCCAATGGTTGGTTTTCGCAAAAAATACGTTAACATTACGACCTTTTCCGCTGACTTTGCTTGGTAATGTACGCTAACTCGGAAGCAATTCGCCCTAATCCGACTGTGTATGAATACTTGCCGCAGGGACAGTTTTTTGAAGCACATCGGCCTGAAGTGAAAGCGCGTTCTACCTCGAAAGGCAGCGCATTGAACGGTATCACACTTCATCGGAAACGACGCACACCGGAAACTGCCGACAAAATTCGAGGATCACGACAAACGTCGACAGCGTTTTGACGGAATTTCGATAATTGATTTTCGCATCCTTTTAATTCATAGGACGACTTGCCTAGATTACATAATTAGATTCTGAGTTTGTAAGTTATTGTAATTTTTATTTGTAATTTCTTTTAACCGTAATCATCATTTGTTATTATTTTGTTCTTGCTCTGTCATTTCACGCGAAACAAACTGTGGTAACGAAGTATGTAAAATAAAACGAAAATACTAATGAGATCACCCTAATCATATATATGAATATTTGTTGAAGGGAAAAGGTAACAAAATTGAAAGATTACTGCGTTATTTTTACTTGTCGTCCGCAGTTATTATTTGTTATTACGCCTTGTTATTTTATATATGACAGAGAGAGAGAGAGAGAGAGAGAGAGAGAGA